GAGTCCCACACTAAATCCATCCATCTAACTCTAAAACACAACATATTACAGACAAATATAATATAAAACCGGCCACGACGTAATACACATTTTACAGGCCTAAAACATTATGTAAATCATGTAAGAATAAACACTGCACTAATGTGAACTTATTTGGGAGGTTCAGATTAGACCACCACCCCCATTGATATGAAAACACTAACCACTTACATACAAACCAGGTCAGCGTGAGGTATAGTGATAGTGGTAATAGTCATAGGTGACTTCAGGCATTTTACACCAGACTTTAGTACAATAAACATGCAAGAATAAGTACTATCTATATACAATCACAATCATTAGCAACGTTCAGATTTGACGACCACTAGCATTAGCATCACTACTTTTATTTTAGATAATAACCAGATACATGCACTATCCATTAACACGCAAAGCCTAGTCAGCGACATGTAGTGATAATGGAAGTCAAATCGAACCTTCCTATTTAAAGTGCCTATATCACTTATAATCAATTGTAATTTTACTTCGATCTTCCAATAACGTAAAATATTTTGAGAAAAAGTCGCCCAGTTGCTACAGCCATACACAACGCACCGTTCCCGCATTTTTTTCTTGAAAAAATTGCCAGTGAAACTCTTCATGTTTACATAATAAAAGACGGCGTGTTTGCAAATCATTCCTGAGTCCCAGTCCCCCCAACCGACGTATTTTCGAAACTATTTAATTATATCAAAAAGGGTTGTAGAACTTATAAACTAATTTTTCAAGCTCTATTCAAATCCGTAAAGATCCCACAAGTGATATAGTCACTTTAACACCACACCAACTACAAGCAGCAGGTGATATTGCTCGAGGGACATTTATAACAAATTGTCTAAATTGTCTTCCATGTCCTTGGACACTCTACGTCAAAGTCTGAGTTTAGTTTATTAATAAAAACTATAAATACATGCATGCAGCAATCCCTCGCCTCGGTTAAACGAAATTAGTTAATGATCGTTAGAAATTTTATGTGGTTTGGGGGTTTTGGAGGGTACATGGTATCTGATGGTATGTGAGAAATAGAAATTGAGAAAAGTATGGAAATATTTTTCTGCACGTGGAAACACTGTAGTCATAGCAACTCGCAACCATAGAGATTATAAATAACACTAGAGGAGGCATTGGTATCGGAAACATCAGTCGAAAAAGGGAGCGCGATAATGGGGGGCAAATTCAAGTCCCGGATGCTAAGCCAAGCGCTGATTGGCTAGATCAATGCCTCCTTAGCAACCACGTTAGCAACAATTTTAAAAAAATTATATTCGTTATTTAGGTCGCTTTGCCGGTTTTTTAAGGAAAAACAGTGCTTTTTGAAACTGGTTTTACTAATTTAGACATCCTGAGACGATATTTGAGGCAAAAAAACATTAAGAAATAAAAAAAACTCGTTAAAAACGACATATTTTGGCCTCGGACATCATGAATGAGTGAACATCCGGGACTTGGATTTGCCCCCCATTAACGCGCTCCCCAATTTCTCCTCGATGACTCCTTTAGTTTTATTTATAATCTCCAGTGCTATGCTCGCAACGGCCGTATACACTGAGCTATATAATAATTCCTGGAGGACCGGCTCGTCATTTTTCGGTAACCTCGCCCGTTCGCCGCCATCTTTTTGTCGCCAAAAACATGGCGGACTTCGCCCTTCTGCGCAACCGCAGAAGCTCTGCTGACGCCACATGCATATGGTTCCTTTTGGCCATGGTATTTACCACTGACTCAAATATGAGCCCGCTACAAGGGTGTTCTCCCCCCTGAATTTAGTAAACAACAAATTCTCCCCCCTGGCCTTTATAAAAAAAATTCCCGTGAAAACTTGTTTTGTTTTTCTGAAATATAAAGTCATGAAAACATCATTAATTGCATTTTTTTGAAATATAAAGCGTTTTTTTAAGATGAATACAAGTCGTAGACGCTGTTATTGCCAACGCAAGAACAATTGTATATTAAAACGTCAAAAATTGTGGACAAAATTGAAGATTTTAATTCTGACACGAACTGACAGGTGTTTTTTTTATATTTTCATTATTTATACATTCCTATAACAAATGCTTGAACTTTTTGGCACTATTGTCGGACATTTTGGGGACAACTGGATATTTATGGACATCAATTAGACTTTTTTAAACCCTGCATGAACTGCAGAATTACTGAAAGTATGCAATTAATAATGTTTTCTTGAATGTCTTCAGAACAATATATGTAGGTATAATCCAAAGAAACAGAGGCCAAAGCTCAGGGGCAAGATGCTTGGCAGCTGACTAAGTGCAAGAGTATAGTTTCAACCATGAGTCATATTTGCATAATATACTTTTCATTAAGGTCATCAGCTTAATTGTACCTCAATGGGCTATAAAAGTTTTCAATATTATCTAATTGCACCCCTGGACCCCTGGTCTTATTAATAAATAATATTCATTCCTCCATAGACTCAATTACTCCTGATTAGCCCATTGAATTTAGCCCTCTTGAAATTTGATACCATAAACAGAAACTTATAAAAGTGCCTGCAGATTGAAGATACATTGCTCACACAGTGCATTTTATATTTATTTCCTTTATAAATATAACAATGGTTTTAAAAATACCAGCCAAAACAAAATCAGATAACATGGTAATCAAGGATAACAATGCAGATTCATAACAATGTGTATAATATGCTTAATACATCTCAGTTCAATGTTCCCACAAATTGCATGACAATTAATTAATAAGCCATCTCTAGCTTGCTTTATTTCATTAATTAATAAGCCATCTCTAGCTTGCTTTATTTCATAGCATCTTCATCCTGAAAAATATAAATGGAAATATGATCAAGATTTATTCACAAGGTGCAAGAAGTTAAAAAATCAATTAATATAAGCCATGATAATTGATTTGAATTTGACAAGGCAAACAAGATAATATATTAACTAGGTTTTAACAGTCACCATCATCAGAGGTTGAAATTTACACTGTTTGCAGCAATTACTTTGCATTACTTTGTATCAGCACCCACTCAGCACTTTTGTCAGTTAGATCATGTAATTATTGCTTGAATCTAATAGACTCACTAAGGGGAAGGTTTACCTATTTACATTATTGTTTGTTATCATGAAAACAAAATAGACCAAACTTAAAGATTGACATTGCCAGGAATTTAATTCCTTCTCCACACAAGTCAAGAAAAATGATAAAGTTTGACTGTTTCGTCTGTTTGAGTACATAACATTGCACATGTGCCAAAGGTCTAAAATAGTATATTTGCTGTTTGTACCATAAGTTTTGATGGATTTATATGGCTCAGAGCCTTTGGTAATCAGTTTATATTCGAGTCCAAAGGCAAAAAACTGAAATTGTTATAAAAACCGGCTTACCTGGATGCCATAAAATAACAGCCGAATGAGAAAAATCATTCCCCCGATAAGTGAATTAAGCCATTCACAACGTCAGACGCAGAGCACGAAGCTACGCTTCCTTTCCATTTGTTGAACAGGGAAAAAGAGAAACACTTTTATCCATTTTATATGAAAAACAAAAAATATGTACAGAAAGCTGAAAATATTTTCATAAAAACCAGGAGGGAGATGGACACAGTTTTTCACCTTGTATCGCGGTATGTCAGTGGTAACCACCATGAGCAAAAGGAACCATGTGGTGTGGCGTCAGCAAAGCTCAAAATCCGCCATGTTTTTGCGGACACGATTTGGCCGCGAGCCGGTCCTCCAGGAATTATTATATACACGCGTAAAAACGCTCAGGTTGATGCAAGTTGATATAAACAGGATGCAGCAATGTTGTGCTGCCCACATTGTTCAGAGTTGTTATCAATATTGAACGATATTGTTACACCCGATTCAGTTTCAACAATATTGTTCAATGTTGATAACAACTCTGAACAATGTGGGCGCCGCAGCACAACATTGCTCCATCCTGTTTGTATCAACTTGCATCAACCTGAGCGTTTTTAGGCGTGTAGCTCAGTGGTTTTAAAGAATCAAAGTTTACCCTCATATTTTTGTGAAAAAAATGGCTAAAATACGACAAGATTCTTGGTCGCATGAGTTTACTAGCTTCCGATTCGTCCGAGAAAATGACTCGACAATCTCATATTCAACTAAGTTGATTTTATTCGATCTAAAACGTAAGACAAGACATTTAACGAATTTACAAACTATTACAAATACACAGTACTAAACATTCATACTTCTTTCCGAGTCATTTCCAACATCTATCTTTTCACAATATCACATCACTATCCGAATTCACTGTCCGTTTTCTCGTGTTCGCAAAACAAAAAAATGCATAGATTATGCTAAATAATTCCCTTTCGCGGGAAACATCAACAATTAAAACAAATAAATTAAGGTTAGTTCTTTTCAGTTTGAACATCCTCCCCCCGGATGACGGGGACGTCATCTCTTCTTCAACAATTCTCATCATAGCCTTCTTCCGGGTAAATCACTGAAATTTTCGTTATGGGTCTTCTGTATATTCCAACAGGCGTTTTGATCGTAACGTTACGGATTTTACCATCTCTTCCTGGATGCACTTTAAGTATTCGTCCTATGCTCCACTTTCCTCTGACCGCGTTTTCGTCCACTGTCATTATAACGTCGTTGATTCTTACATTTCGCCTTTCTGTATTCCATTTCTTTCGAGGTATGAGTAACGGGAACACGTCTTTCGTCCACCTGTTCCAGAACGAGTCCACTATTCGCTGAACAAATTCGACGCGTCGCCGAGGATCCTTGGTTGATTCAAATGGACCTTGAGGAACTGTAGATGACGATCTTCCCAGTAACATGTCGTTAGGACACAAGTATGACCCATCGTCGGGATCGTTTGGAATACGCCCTATTGGCCTTTGATTCACCAGATTAGCAATTTCAAGTAGACAAGTGTATAATTCAAATGGTGATAAGATATGATCCCCAATGGCTTTCTTTAGCCCATGTTTACAACTTTTTACAAGTGCTTCAGCGCACCCATTCTGGTGTGGTGCTGAAGGTGTGATGAATTGCCATGTTGTTCCTCTTTCTGCGCAGTATTCCTTTAATTTCTGGATGTCCCATCCTCAGTCGTATCATTTCACGCAGTTCTCTAGCTACGCCTACGAGTTGAGTTCCGTTATCGCTGAGAATTAATTTTGGACAGCCTCGAATGCAGAAAAATCTTCTTAGCACTTGCATGTAACCCATTGCCGAATAGTCCGTGGCTAGCTCAAGATGAATAGCTCTTGAATTCAAGCATGTAAATATCACTCCATAGTTCTTATCTGTTTTGTTTCTGCTGATTTTCACCTTGTACGGACCGAAATAATCACAAGAAGTGTAGAAAAAGGGAGGGGTTTGCGGGGTTAATCGTGTTGGTGGAAGTTCCGCCATTAGTTGAGTTTCCAATTTATGCTCCATGCTCTTACAGAAAACACATCGTCGTTTCAGTTTCTTTGCCAGATTATGCGCTTTCAGGATCCAGTAATTTCTTCGCAATTTCGCTACGGTTGCAGCAATACCACTATGTCCTTGTTCGTGTGCATGACGAGTAATAAGAGTTGAGATCCAGTGTTCATAAGGTAGTAATGCGGGATGCTTGTTATCATAGCACACCAATGCTTTATCTACACGGCCCCCAACTCTTAGGACACCTTCGTCATCGATGAAAGGACTGAATTGTCGTAATTCTCCATTCTTCACTCTTTTGTGAACAGTTATCTGAGCACGCTTGATCCAGTAAAGTTCAGCTGCTCTTAAATCGTCTGGAGTTAAGATTCCATCATTACCAGCGGAGTTAGTCGTGTTTTCTACCCGTTTGCTACGCGCTTTCGCTGCCAATCTTTGTATTCTAGCTGTGACTCTGACAAGTCTTCGCCATTTTGAAAACCTTTTGCAATCGATGGGTTCCTGGCTTGCATCGACGGAGCAGACGGCTTGTGGTTTGCGTCGCTCTTTGTTAACTTCGTCTTCCTTTGGTTGGACCGCATTTTGTGGCCATTCTTCTTCAGGTTTTCGTAAAAAGTCCGGGCCTGATAGCCATCTATCCTGTAGGTTTTTAACCGCCACACCTCGAGATACGTCATCAGCTACGTTGTCTTCTCCCGGAATATGTCTCCACTGTGCCGGATTTGAATTTGTTTGAATTTCTCTAACTCGCGTGGACACGAAAATCTTGTACGATCTTGCTTGGGACTGTATCCACGCCAATACTATCATGCTGTCAACGAAATATATAACTTTCTCGAATTGAAATCTAGTTTCTTCTAAGATTGTTTTTCCTAGTCGGGAAGCAAGAACAGCTGCTTGCAGCTCTAATCGCGGAATTGTTAACTGCTTTAAGGGGGCGACTCTCGACTTGGCAGCGGTAAATCTTACGTCAAAGGTACCATCATTTAGGAGCCATCTTATATACGCACAAGTTCCAAATGCTTTCTCCGATGCATCCGAAAAAATGCAAAGAGTGGGTTTGCCGATAACGCAGATTGGGGTAAGGCATCTTACTACGGTAACATTATTGAGCTCTTTCATCTCTTCAAATAGCGCCATCCACTTGTCATGATCTGCTTTCGTTAGTTCTTCATCCCATTCGATTCCTCTTTCCCAAAGATCTTGCATTCCAATTTTAGCCTTAATTATGAAGGCTGCAGCAAATCCGAAAGGGTCAAACACTCTGGCTATTTGACTTAGAATTTTTCTCTTTGTCAGCTTCTTTGTCACCAATTCGGTTGAATTATCTGTTTGGAGCGTTGACAGGCTGATATTCACTTTGAAGGAGAAAACGTCCTTTTTATTGTCCCAAATAAGACCTAGTACTTTCTCAGCGGCATTTGTTTCGAGTAGTTTCATACATTCCGTATTCTTTGGAGCTGCTGAATTGCTTACTTGAACTGCTGAACGATTAGATAACCAGCCCTTCACGGTGAATCCGCCTGTTGCAAGAATTTCGTCAACTTCCTTTGTTATCTTCTTTGCTTTCTGTTCAGTAGGAGCTGAGTCCCAGATGTCGTCAACATAACTATTCTCCAACAGGGTTCTCGAAGCTTCTGGGTGTATTTCTTTTGCTTCCTCTGCGGTTTTTCGAAGAACAATTTGTGCCATGGCCGGAGCAGGCTTGTCGCCGAATGTTAGTACCTTCTTCACATAGATGTCTGGCTCTCTTTCGGTTTCTAGATTTCGCCATAGAAACCTGTGAACATCTTGGTCTTCTTTCGGGATTAGAATGCGATGATACATTTTGGATATGTCTGCACAGAATGCCACTTCGTTTTCTCGAAATCTTAATACCACTCCGAACAAATTATTTAGCAAGTCCGGACCTTTCATCCAAAAATCGTTTAAACATTGACCTTTATAGTTGGCTGAGGAGTTGAAGACGATTCTTACTGGTGTGCTTCTTTTATCGGGTCTCAAGACTTCTCTGTGAGCGATATAATGAACAGGACCTTTGTGATTTTTCACTTCTTCTTTCGACAACTTTCTAGCGAAATTTAGTTCAGTCATTTCGTTTATTTGCTCGTTGTATTTTTCAGCATTCACTGGATTCTTCTTCAGACGGCGTTCTGTTGCTTCTAATTTCTTTAGAGCATGTTCTCGATTGTCACGTAAAAGATTTCTATCTCTTCTCCATGGGTATGATACCATCCATTGCTTTCCAACTTTCTTACAAGAGTCCTCTATCACTTTCTTTTCTAGTTGCTCAGCTGGACTAAGCTTCTCATTGTTGCACTGGCAGGGCTTGCTGGACACACCCATTGCTTCTGTGCTCCAAAATTCGGTCATATTGACAGGAGTCGATACTTGAACATGAAGAACTCGATTGTGTTGACCTTGGCTTCCTGTGATTGGCCCAAACACGACCCAACCAAGCGGCGAATGACGTGCTATCAAATTCTTCGCTTCTCTTATTTCGCCTGCATGTAATTTAACATGATCACATCCAATCAGTATGTCAACCGATCCACTTCCCCTGATGAGATTTCTTCCTTCAAGCCCCAGTTCTTGAGCATATTCTCCAATACTGACAGCTTCAATACTGTCACTAATACAAGGAATGCCAACAGCGCTTATGGAGTGAATGGTGTTATCTTCAAGCGAAAGAAGACGCACTTTATAAAGCTTTGTTCGTATCTCTTCTTCTTCTCCTCCAACTTTGGTGAGTGTGACCATCACATCCTTTCCTTTTAGCTTCATATCCTTTGCCACTGACTTTCGAATCAGGCTTATCTGTGCACCAGAGTCAAATAACACAACTGCTCTTTGACGATTTCCTTCTTGTCCTAAGATTTCAACTTCAATAACGGGCAGGAGTACGTTTTTGTTGTTGTTCACAGAGGCAATTCCACAATGATTCGTTTGACCAGGGATGTGCAAGAGATGATGATGAAATGATTTGCATTGTTCATTTCCTACTTTTTCCGAGCATTGGCGTCGACGAGAGCATGTTGATGCTTTATGATTCTTGCTTGTTTTCTTTAAACATGCAAAACATGCACGGTTTTCTTTCATTAATTGGAGTCTCGCTGCTGGTGTCATAGCTTCAACTTTAGGACACTGATCCACCCAATGAACTGACGTTTTGCAAACCCAACATTTGAATCTTTCGCCTTCACTCGCATAATTTACATTCCACTTTCTTCCCTGACCTTGACTTCTAACAGGCGCCGATGATCTCATTCGTGACTTCATTTCAGTCGTCATCCAAGACATGATGTTTTCCAATGTAGCCTCTTTTTTTTCTCTTTCTAAATCTCGAGCCCACATCTTCCTATCGTCAACGCACATCTTCTGTTCTATAATAGCCAACATGTGATTATTGTTCATGTCATAAGGACGTCCTACTTCTTTAAGGGTATTATAGCTTCTATTCACGAGATGGACGAGCTCACAAAAGCGAGTATCTTCACCATTCTGAAGTGGTTTAAATCTTGTAATATCTTGGGTGACTGTGTCTGCTATAAATCTAGGATCTCCATAGATAGAATCAAGATATGCCCAGGCTGCTTTATAATCTGATCCGACTCCTTTAATCAGGTCTAATGGTTTCCCATGTAGACTGGCACGTAACATAGTAATTGAATCTCTATCGCTATATCTGGATTCAATTACATGCTTGAAATCTGCTCGAAATGTTACATAGTCTCTCATATCTCCATTAAACGTGGGCAATTTTGGCTTTTCGATTCTGAATTCACATTTACGTTCTGCGTCAACTTTTGCTCTGGTAACATTCTCTGACGTATTTCCTTCAACTATATTGCCAGGGGATTCACTGCTAGTTGTTATCGTGCTTGTTTCTTGTGTGGTTTTACGGTTGTTCCACTTTCATTCGTTGCATTTTCCGTCATATTTTCCGTAGTATCTTCGTTCACAGCAACAACTTCCGGTTGATTTAGTTCGCTCGATTGATTTCCGACATTTTCCGATGCATTTTGTTGTACTTCCGGTTTGTTTTTTGCAACCGACATATAATCTTTCGCTTTAAACGTTAGCGTTAAAGTTTTGTCGCGACATACTTCAATCCATTGCTCTTCAGTAGCGAATTCTTCATCTTCCTCGACAAGTACTAAATATTCCTCGTGTTTTCTTTCCACATTGCTGTATTCTTGCTCCAAAAGTGCGAGCGCTGCTTGTACTTCTTCTACGGGGCGTCCACTCTCGATTATCGCGTTCAATGTATTTCCTCGCCTTGTTAAAGCTCCCTTTGCATTTCTCCTGACTTTCTTAGTTTCTAATTTCGCAGCTTGCGTTTCTTCTGCCATCATGCATTAGCCAGTAAACTTAAGAACCCGGATTGTACTTTAGAAATCGAATTTATGGTCGCATGAGTTTACTAGCTTCCGATTCGTCCGAGAAAATGACTCGACAATCTCATATTCAACTAAGTTGATTTTATTCGATCTAAAACGTAAGACAAGACATTTAACGAATTTACAAACTATTACAAATACACAGTACTAAACATTCATACTTCTTTCCGAGTCATTTCCAACATCTATCTTTTCACAATATCACATCACTATCCGAATTCACTGTCCGTTTTCTCGTGTTCGCAAAACAAAAAAATGCATAGATTATGCTAAATAATTCCCTTTCGCGGGAAACATCAACAATTAAAACAAATAAATTAAGGTTAGTTCTTTTCAGTTTGAACAATTCTTACCTTTTTCTGGAAGTTAAGTTACTCATCTATTATCAGTGTTATGGTAAATTATTTTAATTATTAAATGCCATGAAATATAACATCAGACGTCTCATAAAACGCTTCGACTGGTTTTTTTACGGGAATGTTTTGATTTTGTTTTCTTTTTGTCATTATGAAAACGGAGTTTATAAATAAAATTATAATGTCGTTTATCACATAACACATTGAGATTTATAGTGAAAAAAATTTGAGGATATTAAAGTTGTGTTTGCCACAAAAGAATTACTTTTTAAAGCTGTGCCGGTGTGCCGGATGAAATATTATCAAGTGTAAAATATTCCGAGTTCATCACACACGGTGAATTTGGTCGAAAATTTGATCTTGTTATTTGTTAAATCGTGAAAAGTCCTGACATCATTCGAGTTTCCCTCTAATTTAGTAAAAATACATATATTCCATACATATATATATAATTATATTATATATATATATATATATATATATTATATATAATATATATATATATATATATATATTATATATATAATATATATATATATATATATGTATTATATATATATATATATATTATATATATATATATATAATTTGTAAATTTCATCAAAATTTTGCTAAATGACAGTTATTCATTGACGTTTGAAAATACAAATTTTTGTCTCGACCAATCAAGAGCTTAGTAGTTCACACTGGCGCATGCGTAAAACGTAGAAGACCGTCCATGGCGTGAGGTCAATTCAGTCATAGAGATTATAAATAACACACTAAAGGAGTCATCGAGGAGAAATTGGGGAGCGCGTTAATGGGGGGCAAATTCAAGTCCCGGATGTTCACTCACTCACAATGTCCGAGGCCAAAATAAGTCGTTTTTAACGAGTTTTTTTTTTTCTAAAAGTTTTTTTGCCTAAAATATCGTTTCAGGATGTCTAAATTAGTAGAACCAGTTTCAAAAAGCACTGTTTTTCCTTAAAAAACCGGCAAAGCGACCTAAATAACGAATATAATTTTTTTAAAATTGTTGCTAACGTGGTTGCTAAGGAGGCATTGATCTAGCCAATCAGCGCTTAGCTTAGCATCCGGGACTTGAATTTGCCCCCCATTATCGCGCTCCCTTTTTTGACTGATGTTTCCGATACCAATGCCTCCTCTAGTGTTATTTATAATCTCTATGAATTCAGTGGGTCAATTGCATAATGGCGGACTACTTTGATTTCGCATTTGCATATCGTGGGTATAAATATCCGAGCGGAATTAGTACCCTCGCACGGTGCTCCGCACCGGCTCGGGAATAATAAGTGTAAAGTTTGGATTTGAATAGAACGTAAGAGTTCCATGATTTGATATGAATGGGTAAATTGTTCTGTAGTAGAATTATTCTGTTGAAGTAGAATGATCTAAATGTTTAGGATTTACAAAGGTTGGTCGACGTAGATCGGAAAAACTGAAACGAGTGGTGTGAAGGAAAGGTTTAGTGAAATACTCGTCTATATCTATTCCGTAGCCCCAGATTTGCATTTATAGTGAAATGTTAGATCTTTAATTTCAAACCAGTAGATGCTAGTTAATTAAAACTTTTTAATCTCGAAGAATACAAAGAATTGTTACCCGTCTTTAAATGCTTTCAAGAAGAACGAGGTCTCGCGATGACCCTTGCATAGGGGGACCAAATCTCACTGCCGTAAGACAAATGAGAGCTTACTAATGTTAAATACAACAGCCGACGGCAGTGGATATTCGTCTTTAGTCGAGGTGATTTGTCTGTAGCATTTACTGTCGTCGGAAAAGATCATTAAAGTATGTAGATTCATTTATATTTTTAGCTCGTACGATACACTAGACTGTAAATGTTCACTTGAAAGAATCCTCTGATAAGCGTAATAAGAGCGCGCAGGCAATGAAAATACAGGGGGGGGAGAGCGAGAGAAACGGGAGAACGAGGAAAGCCTCCACCAGATGTCACACCCAATATGGCATCCAACTGGGGGGTGACTATACTCGCCCCCCCCCCCCATTTTCATTGCCTGCGCGCTCTTATTAAGCTGATCAGAGGATTCTTTGAAGTGAACATTAACAGTGTATCTAGTGTATCGTATGAGCGAAATATAAATGAACCTACATACTTTAATGAAAAAAAGAGCAAAAAGCCTTTGCGGAGGAGAGAGGTGTCTTGCTGTGAGTGGTTACGTCAGTCGGAATTTCATTTACAAAGATAATAAACAACAATGGGCCAGTTACACTACCTTGCGGGATGCCAGAAGTAGCTTCAAGAAAGGATGATGACAAACCATCGATCACAACACGTTGTTACCTTGAGCTAAGGTAGTAACAAAGCCAGTTGAGCAAAGGGCCAGATATACCGTGATCTCTAAGCTTCTTAATAAGATTTGGATGGGCCACTGAATTTCGAATCGAAAGCTTTCGAGAAGTCTAAGTAAACGACATCAGTTGTCATTCCGGATGATTGCCAATATGATGAAGTACTTCCAGTAGTTGGGTTATACAGGATCTGTTTGGACGGAAACCATGTTGAAGATGATGGAGCGAGGGTTTGATTAAATCATAAACTTGTCTGTGAATTATACGTTCGAGAACTTTAGAGATTATATAGAAAAGTGAAATTGGACGATAGTTATGGATTTCAATGAGATCATCTTTCTTTTGTACTGGACCGACGTTTGCTTTCTCCATTCCTAGGGACTTTACCATGGGCAAGTGACATAATGAAAAGTTCAGTTAAAGATGCCAGTTCTGTCGCACATTCTCTCAACAATGTCGCTCATATTCCATCAGAACCAGCCGACCAGTGGCCTACGTGACTTTGTAAGACCTGACAACAAGCAGTAAACCTCCTCAACTGAAATGTTTATAGACTCCAGACCAACTTATAAAACTGTAAATAACACTTACCAAATTCGCCGGTTTGGCTATATTCACAGCTCGTACTTTGCAATATTTTGTAGCTAAACTTACCAAGTTACTATAAGTTTAGTGTGCTCTTCTCGGAAACTCCTTTTTTGTCGCTTAAATCAAAAGTTGGTCTATTATGCAAAGGGTCAATTGTTAGCAACGTTTTTCTCCCACGCGTAAAATATGAGTACCAAACTCTCGTAAAAAGCTCACGTTTTCTAGCTTTAATTAATGTGACAGCCAGTTTGGTAATGGAACCTGTTGAGATTCTCGGGGGGGGTGGTAATACTGGCCGAGGTGCATGTAACTGGCTGTTGCATTGACATTGTGATGCCATTTCAGCGTTTTACCCCATTTCAGCGTTTTATCCCATTTCAGCGTTTTAACCCCATTTCAGCGTTTTATCCCCATATCAGCGTTTTACCCCATTCCAGCGTTTTATCCCCATTTCAGCGTTTTACCCCCGCTTCAGCGTTTTACCCCCGTTTCAGTCTCCGCGATTCAGTTGCAGCGTTTTATCTCTACCCGTCACGCAAGCAGTGAGTTGAGACAAAAATAACCCAAGTTTACGCATCTGCGTGTGTACTTATTTTTCATCAAATTATCTGAAATTTTTATAATTTGTAAATAAAAACATAAAACTTCATTCGATATAATAAAAATTCATTTTAAAAAAGTTATTCATGCTTGCACAAGCCATTCAAAATGAGGTTTTCACAAACCCTTTTCTCCCTTTTTGGAGGTTAAAGTTTCTGTTTTACCTTGCTAGGCAGATGTCATGATGGAAAATTGCATCGCTCAAAATTGCGTCAACTTTTTATCACGAAAGAGCTTCAATATCTACGATCAGGTTGTTCTCATAATTTTCATGTTGCTTGATTTCGTGTTCATGATCTTGTTGAGTGAACTAGATTTTGATAAGAAATTTTATTGTTACAATTCCAAGGCTAGCCAAGGAGTGCATCCTACTCCATCTGCTGAGGATATTAAGATGAAATGT